GAAAGTGGGAAGGGCAGGGCAGGGCAGGAGGGGAAGGAAGAAGGGATGGAGCGGGGAAAGGGAAGAGAAAGAAAGGGGGTGGGGGGAGAGGGAGAGAGAAAGAAGAGCAGAGTCCTTTAAAATATAGATGGAAGAAAACCGTTTGTCTTTTACCAAATAAAATATTGGAAGGTTCAAAAAATATTTAAGTTGAGTAGCAATAGAATTTCCTTGAAATTCTGACACACAAGTTTATTAACTAAACAGTTTTAAAATACAGAGCTTATGTTTGCTGGAAATAACCTCAAATCTCTCATAAAAACTGTTACTATACATATTTCATAATCTGAAAATCAACCAAAACCACCATGGAGATATATTTTCCGTGCTTGGTTAAAAACACATGGTTCTTGACATGAAGATCCCAAGGAGGAAAGTTAGACTGCAAAAGAATTAGCAAACACAAATGCCTTTCAGACAAGAGCAGCTTAAAACACACACATACAAAAACCCCATACATCTCCAAGCTTTATCCCATTAATTAACTCATCAAATTTTATAGCTGCATAAGGTTTTACTACTAAAGGAATATAATAGCAACAGTGTCGCTCATTTAATCACAGATATAAAACTAATGTTGGGAAAAAACCCAACAAAATCTATTCACTTAGCAAACAGAAATCAGAAAAAAAAAAAGTGCTACTGTATTTAAATCCAGTGATGAATATCTGACTGAAAATATTCTCTTAAAAACGAGGTTAGGAACGTAGGATCAAAACAAAGTAGCAGCATACTGTCTATCTATAAAGCTGTTGGGTTTTCTGTCACCCTAGTGTATTTATTTAATCCATATTTTCATACAGTTAAGATCCATTTCTACCCACAGGATACTTCTGACACCAACTGTTTTGGGGGGTAGTTTTCCCCACACCAACCAATTCTCCAACTCTCTGAACATCAACTGGGTGTCCAATAATACAATTCAGTTTTGGCCCCAACTACAGGGAGTTAGTTAGCATCAGACCCCACAGGTTAAGGGCTCAGTCCCATCACACTGCCCCCACCTCAGACACCAATCACAAGTCAGGACCATCTCTACTTTTGACTCAACGGATTATAAAGTAGAAGGTTCCCACAAGCCCCTCATCAGGTTCTATACTAGCTAGAACTCACAGAACTCAGGAAAGTGCTGTACTTACTATAACTAATTTATTATGAAGGATACAATTCAGAAACAGCCCAGTGGAAGAAGGGGGCAGAGGCCCCTCCATGCTCTCTGGGCATGCCACCCTCCCAGCACCTTGAAATGTTCACCCACCTGGAAGCTCTGCCGCCCCCATAGTTTAAGGGGTTTATGGTTTCATACCACAGACTTGATTGATTAAATCATTGGTGATTAACAATCTCCAGGTCCTCTCCCCTCCCAGGGGGACAAGCGGTAGGACTGAAAGTTCAAACCCTTATCATGCCTTGGTCTTTTTGGTGACTAGCAACCATCCTGAAGCCAAATCTCAGTAATATACAAAAAGACACTCTTATCGCTCTACAAATTCTAATGAATATTTGTTGAAAAAGCATTTATTAAAAATGAAGATTAGTTTTTATACTGTCTCTACTTCCTCGCTTTTTATTCAGTCCTTCAAACAACCACAATTTGGTTTTGATTCCCTAATTGCCCCAGTAAGGTTTCTAGGGCGACCTAATGCCAGGTCTAACATATGGACGTGCTTTATACATCTACACTACATGTCATTACAGATCAATCCTTCTACAAAGAATTATTTCCTTAGTTCCTTAATAACATTAAAGTTCCCCTCTTACTTTCCAGACCTTTCCTTTGCTGAGTTGAGTTCACCACATCCATTTGCTCCTTAATTTTTCATGTCCCAATGCTGCTTTCCTTAGCCCTCTTTTTAATTTATTATCAGTGCTTATTAAACCTGAGAGCAACAGGCTCCTTACAGGTCTAAGTGTTAAGAGGTCTGTGAATTCCCTGAAGTTACATGCAAAACTGAGTGTGTACATAAACATGTATTTTTTTTTCAATAAATATTTATTTAGTGCCTACGGTACACCAGCCACTGTGCTAGGCATTCCATCCATATCCTGCCCAAATACTCTATTTTCAAGAAACTTGACTATACCCTCCTTATAACTCTTTTCTACCTCCAAACCCCTAAGTAATAACTCCTCTATATAATAAACCTCAATAACTTTCAACTGGCTCAATAAATAAACCATATTCTCTACTGTTTTTTCACAGAACCCAATAGAGACTAGGGGGATGTTAAACATACGATGTAAGTCTTTTATAGACATAGGATCACTTTTCCTATCACAAGAATTACAGTACTCTTTGAACTAACCATTTCTATAACTTTAATTCATGATGGAATTATGAATTCTATTCTAAAAATAGAATTCCATTCTATTTAATGGAATTCTTAAGGATAAAGGTCCAACTGACACTCCTTAAAAAAATATAAACAAAAAACTATCCCTGTAGTTCTCCCATTACCCTCTTACAATAAATATTTGTTACCATAAGTCTCTGAAAGAAAACACATAGAATACTGTTTTCTAAAAATTCCCCTAAAATAGAATTTTAATTCTAAAATGAGCAAACTATGTCCTAGCAGTTAAGTGAGTCTACAATACTAAAGAAATTATTCCAACACTACAAAAATGAGTTATAGTCTTTTTCATAAGAATTTGTTAATGTTTATTTTAATCCTATTAACAATTAATGTAGTCAACAAATAATTAGGGAGTTCCTCTCCTATGGCAGGCACTAGAACAAGATATGTCTGGTTCCTCCTTTCATTCTAGGGACACAAAATTTTAAAACTTGAACGTAATTGGGTAAGTGCTTCAAGAGTATGAAATCATATAGTTAGTTAAAAAACCAGGGGTAGGTTTTGTTCATTGGTTGTTTTCATTTTCTTTTTTGTTTTTAATTTTGGTAAAGGGATGGGGAAGGGCTTTGGGGTAGGGTAGTCAAGGAACGCTCTCTAAAGCATGTGAACTTTGAGGGGGATTCTGAGAAATGACATAGTATCATGGGAGCAAGAGTGGGGCAAGGAGGAAAGAACACTCCTAATGGAAGGAATAGCACGTGTCCAGACCTAATACAAGGGGGAACATTTAGGGAATTCAACAAAAGCCAGCATTGCCAGATCATAGAGTGAGGGGAAGAATAGCTTAATATGAAGCTAGAGACATAGGGAGGAACCAGATCATCTTTTTATATAGTACTTAGTTAAAAACACTTTAACATGTTTTCTATTTTGTTCCTCAACAAACTTGTGAAGTAATTATTATTTATTATTCTAAATCTAATTACATCACCCCTCTTTAGAACGCCCACAGAGTAAGGTCCAAGTTAGTTCAATCACCTTGTCTGCTGGTAGTTACATACCTATTCATTCTTTAAGATTCTATATACACTATCATCTAAAAAACCTATACTGAACATACTTCAAAATAGCACTTTCTATAAAACATGATCTATTTGAAACATTTTTTAAAAAGCATTAAAAATAATGCCACATATCTAACATCCAGCTTAAGGGAATATATCCTGACAAGGCTTTTAAAAAGTATGAATTTACAGGTCTTCTCCATTAGACTGTGAACTCCCTGAAGGTAGGAACTGTGTTACTTAATTTGATATATCCAAAATCTAGCACTAAGCACTTAATACTTTTAATATAATGGAATTCTCCAATACAGGTAGAAACAGGTTCACAGTGTGTTAGAGGCCACAAAACCAATAAAAAAATCACTGAATTCAGTTCAACTACAAAGGAAGTCCTCCTTTTCCCATACATGTTTGCACCTTTGTAATACTGGAGAGATTTACTCAACATTAGTCAATGTAACTTTCGGTCCACATGATATCAGGTCATTGTTTTAAACATCCGAAGAAGGCATTCCTTGAACAAATACGCTATTGAAGTCTGCTGTTAAATGCTGGGAATATAAATTTCAATTATAGAAATTTCATACATTAGAAAAACTCAAGACTCTTCTCTCAAGCATGTCTCCCGCTAAAGTTTTTGAGAAGGGAAAAATCTCTTACAGAACTGGTCCAAAGTTTGGCTGCTTCCATATTCAAAGAACACACTCTACCTTACATTAAACCAAGACAGGGAAAGAAGTCCGTCACACTTGGTCACACACCCACAGATAACCAGTTCTTCTCCCCCTCATAAAAGGAATTACTGGTAGAGAATAAAAAGGAAGTCGTGTTGTGAGTAGATGTGTTTGGGGGTGGGGGGTGGGGGGGTGGTACCGGGAAATAATTTAAAAGCCAAGAAATCAGAAACGCAGTTTTGAAGAGGGAACGAAATGCAAAGTGGCGTGCAGGATAATCAGATTTGTTCATGAGTCTTCTACACATTTTTTCTGCACAAAGTTGTAAGCCTTACACAGCACTTTTTTAAAAAGGCCTTACAGGTCCTGTATTTCTTGGCTGCACCTATATCTTGCCTCCTCCGCCCCGCCCAGCAGCTCCAGGTCCTTCCCGCCTCATAATGGAAGCTTCCCTGGGCTGCTGGACTGGAGCGGAGGCAGACTGGTCAGTGCATCGATGAGCACAAGCGGTGGACCGGAACACCGCAGACTACAGTGGGTGGCGGGGCCAAGGAACAGGTCAGGTCAGCCTCAACCTCCACCTTAGCCACCAGCTCAGCTCGCCCAGTTCAGTGAGACATCTAGCGCCGAAAAGAGACGAGAGCATCCAGCTCCTCGAGAGCAGGAGATCTCTCGAACCGTTCCCCAGAGTTTTCGGTCTTTCCGCGCCCACCCCGCCCGCAGTTACCTTCCCAAGTGACATCGTAAAGCTCTGAGACCTTCGCCATCTTCTCAGAACATAGAGGCAGCTGGGTGAGAGGGCGGGGAGACGCGATCACGTGTCCTGTGACCTGGCGGTGGTACATTACGACACTGTTTCTCATTGGCCGAGAGAGAGGAGGGGGCGGGATTCGCCGCGCACGTGTACACGGCTTTGAGGCGGGGCTGTCCCGGAAGGGGGCTGGGCGAGCTGCGCCATGCGTGGCGTGCCGGGATGCAGAGAAGGCACTTGGTGGCGGTTCTCGCGGCTGAATTTGCTTGGGGTGAGGTGTCTGACTGTTTACCATGGCTCTTTTACAAATGTTGGGTTTTTAATGTGCGCCACTTCTGGGTTTTCATTTTTCTCTACGTAGGTGTATTCCTTTTCTTCCCAATCCCTGATCAGCTCCTCGTTCTCGTGGCCTGCTGTAGCGCAGTGTTCTAAGCGAATCACTGGTCCCGCACTTTCCTCCTTCCTCAATGGGATTCGCTTTCCGTGTCCTTTTTAATGTTCCGCTAAACGGATACAGTTCAAAATGTGCGTTAAATCTCCTTGAGGGACTAAGTGGGATTCAGCGTTTGCACATTATGTTCCAGTGACCGAGGGCTTTTTTATGTCACATGAATGTCTTCATAGCAACCCTTATCCTTAGTTAACACTACTCTTGGACCAGTTTCCCTGCCATTCTAGATTTGAAACTCCGTAAGAGCAGCCAAAATGTAAGTGCTTATAAATAAGTGAATTATTAAATAAGTGTACGAATGAGCATACAGCCCCTATACCTCGTTCCTTTTAACCTCACGGGGGAGTCTCCCTCCCACCCTTTCTCACCAGACTGATTTCAGGAACCTTTGGACCTAATCTACTAGAACCACGGAGACGTGCCTGAAGTGGAAGAAAAAAAAAAAAATTGAGTCATAAGCATATATTTAGTGTTTAAAGCAATGAGAACATGAAATTGTAAAAGGGGCATAAGAGAGGAAAGAAGGCTAAAAATTCCTGCATAACAGCCATAGTTAAGGCTTCATGAAAAGAGGCAATCAAGATATGAGAAAGAAAAAAATCTATCCCACAAGCTAAGGGAGTAGAGTTAAAAAAAAAAAGGAACTATCAGTGGCACCTGTGCATTTATAAACTCTGGTTCTGAATGAGCTTCATTCTCTCCAGACTAAAGAGACCTTAAAAAAAAAAAAAACCCTCATTCAAAAAATTAAAAATCTTTTACTCAGAAACTCACATGCCTCAATAAAATAACCTGGTATAATGGTAGGAATAAAAACTCTATCAGAGAGTTGAATCCAGGGTCCACCATTTAGTAGCTGGTTGACTTGCAGCATGGTATCGCTGAGCATCAGAGTTGCTAATATATAAAAAGAAGCTAATTATAGCTATATAAAAAGAGAAGATCTACCTGGAGTACACAAGATTAAAAAAATTATTGCATGACAATCATGGAGGTACCAGTTCTGTGGCTGTAAATACTGTTTATATGCTGATGACTCCCAAATTGACAAATCTAGCAGTCCTGTTTCTCCCCTGAAACCCAGTTCTGCTTTCTTGACATATTTACTTAGATGGCTAATATGCCTCTCAAAGTTAACATATCCCATACTGAACTCTGGAGTCCTGCTACCAAGTCCCCCAACTTGCTCTTCCCTATCAGTTAATGAAACCATTTGCCTGTTTGCACAAACTAAAATTCTAGGAAGTATCCTTGATTCTCTTCTTTGCCAGCTGCGCTATATCCGGTCTTGTCAGGAAATTCTGCATTCCAAAACATTCCTCAAAATCTATTTCCCTTCTAAATCTAAGGGAAATTGCTACTTAGATTGCTACTAAATCTAAGCCACAACCACCTCTTACCTGAATAACTAATAGCCTCCTAAGCTCTTTAGTTTCATTCTTTCTGTATAATATCTATTTTCTATACAGCAGCCCTACTGGTCTTAAAAAAAAAAAATCACAAATGTCCTTTGCCAACAGCTCTCAAATGGCTGACCCTGGCAATATAAACATACCCTAAACACTTTACCATGGTTTACAGGGTTTTACTTTGTCTGGCTCTCTCCTACATCTCTTACTCCATCTACCATTCTCTCATTACTAGACTTCAGCCATTCTCACCTCCTTCAAACATGCCAAACTCCTGTCTGCCTTGGGTCTGACATTTGCCCAGCTGTTCCTTTTCATGGAATGCTCCTTTCCAGATACTTGGCTGTCTTATTTTTGTCATTCATGTCTCAGATTTAAGTGTATCTAGTCATAGAGAGGCCTACCTTGACTATCTAATAAAAAGCCCTAGTTAGTGCCTGTTACATTATTATAAAACTTATCACTATGTGATATATTTTTGTTCACTTACTTAATGTATTTTTCATTTTTTATAAACTCCTTGAGAGTATGTACTTTGTCATTTTTTTTTTCCCCCTACGTCGTCGCCGGCGACTCATGGCAGCCCAACTCCAGGTTGAGCTGTTGTTCAGCATCTTAGCTGTGGAGGGCAGTGTCACTGGCCCTCATATGTGGGATCTGAACCGGGGCCCTCTGGTGTCCCAAGCCAGTTCTTAACCATCGCGCCACTGGGCCGGCCCTGTACTTGTCATTTTAATCTTGGAACATCCAACCTAGAGAAACACCAGGAGCACAGTAAATGTTTGTTGACTGAATGAATGAATTAAATACTCGAAAAATGACAGCTTATATTAGTGATTATTAGGATAATATTTTATAGTGGTACACATGTAACTCTACTGTTTGGTTATAGATAAGATGTTTTTATTTCATATCTGATGATTTCCTAAAAATTATAAGTTTATCGAGTGTGGACAACATGCCCATTTGTTTTATGTCTCCCAGCTCCTTACCACAGTATGTGACATATTTGTGGCATACACATACAAATTAATATTTGTACTAAATTGTTGATTCCCAACATTTTGTTGAATTTTTTTGAAGGAGTGAAAGCCAAAGAAGGTGTCCTTTAAAAACTTACAATGGATATTAACAGTTACAGCTAATTGAGGGAGTAAATATTTTCTAGTCAGTTTAGCTAAATGGCATTGTAACTGTTAAATGCCAGTGTAAGCTATTGTTGTCAGGCAATAAACCATATCTGATACTAGGTTTAAAAAGGTAATTTTCAGAATTTTTGAGCTGGAATCTAGAATAATTTCAGTTCAGACTTAGAAGTTACTTATGATTCTTTAGAACACTATTTTTTAAAGTTTTTTGCTTGCACCATATTAAGGAATACATTTTGCATCATCACACAGTATGCACTCATATATTTATTTTTTTGTTTTTTGTTTTTTTGGTTTTTTTTTAAGCTGAGCCATCCTGCCACCTGTTGGCAGCTCAGCGGCTCCTCAGATCAGGCTGGGAATCAAACCGCTGTTGCTCAGAACTCAAGCTCTTGAGTGAGCTCTTAACCAACTGAGCCACTCGGCCGGCCCTCAACACGTATATTTAAAACCAAAAAACCAAATTTACAAGCTAGCCTTACTATGTGCCTTGTCTTCTATACTTTCTATTCAAATTGTTTCAATTCCATTTTATTTTGTAAAAATGCTAGTTGTGACCCACTAATGGGAAAGTAACCCATACTTTGAAAAACACAAATGAACACCATGTATTTTCTAATCTTAGGCCCTGAAGTGGAACAATTTTCTCAAGTTCTTGATGCTAGTAGGTAACAAACATGGGAAATTTACATGGAAGAGATGAGTTGTTTATTGGGTTGTCGGAAAAGTCATGACGTATGTTTGCAACAGATGGCACTAGTTCATTTTTGGAAGTACAAGAGTCATTTGCATCTATATTATTGCTATGTCATTTGACAGCTGACAGTTCTAGCTTCATTCAAAAAAAACTGAGCAAATGATTTGGTTGAGTTTTGGAGATTTTACAACAAGCTGAAGATGGAAGACCAAATTGCGTTTTTGCCATGTTTTACTTCCATAAAGAAAAGAACGCTCATCAAGCTTGTGAAAAGTTGCATAAGGTTTATAGTGACAGTGCCCTACAAGGACGTCCATGCCAATGATGGGTCACGAAATTCCGTGCTGGTGATTTTGATCTCAATGACGCTCCTCAGTCAGAAAGGCCCACCGAGGTTGATGATGACAAAATAAAGCAATTGATCGAGTCAAACCCACATTACACGACACGAGAGATTGCAGGAACATTGAACATCCATCATTCAAGCGTTCATGACCACCTGAAGAAGCTGGGATACGTAAGCAAGCTCGATATTTGGGTTCCACATGAACTCGAAGTTCATTTGATGGTGCATATAAACATCTGCAACATGCTCATTAAACATGAGGAAAATGATCCTTTTTTGAAGCGACTGATAACTGGTTATGAGAAGTGGATTGTTTACAACAGTGTGGTGCACAAACGGTCTTGGTCCCAACGTGGTGATTCGCCTCAAACACATCAAAAACAGACATTCATTAGAAGAAGCTTATGCCCTCAGCGTGATGGGATTTTACAGGTGTCGTGTTTTTTGAGCTCCTACCAAAGAACCAAACAATTCAAATGTGTACTGTCGGCAATTGGACAGTTTGAATGAATCCATCACCCAGAAATGTCCAGAGCTTGTTAATTGTAAACGAGTTGTGTTCCATTGCGACAACGTGAGACCACACACAAGTTTGATCACCTGTCAAAAATTATTGGAGCTTGGATGGGATGTGTTGCCACACCCACCATACTCACCTGACCTTGCACCGTCAGACTTCCACTTGTTTCGCTCTCTTCAAAACTACGCGGTATAATGTTCAATTCAGATGAGGCTGTAAATCAGTTTTTCGCAAATAAAGACAGATCCTTCTATGAATGAGGAATTATGAAGCTCATTGAAAGATGGCAAAAGGTTATCAAACAAATGGCAATCAATGGAAATCAATGGCAATATGTCATTGATTGATTTTTGTTCTTTATATAAATAAATAACCTTTGAAAAACATAGACAAAATATGTCATGACTTTTCCGACAACCTAATAGATCATAGATGAAAGACGAAATATTTACAGGAAAATATATTTAAGGGAAATTTTGTCACCAACAGTATTCTCTGACATGGGGAAAGTGATTGTCTGTTTATATATTATAACATTTCATATAGCAATAAAACCTGCCTTCCTCAGGTACACTCGGAAAGAAACTGATAAGTCAGTGACAGTATTCTTCTTTATATTATTCTTTAACATTTTATAATGTAATTATAACTATAAATAAAAAGTATCCTCTAGAGATAAAATCATAACCCTTGAAAACAT